TTTTTTTTTTTTTGATTAGTGCCAATAATGTCAGGGTGAGATGGAATGTCAGTGTAGTTTTGATTTGCATTTCTTTAATGGCTAATGATCGTGAGCATTTCCTATGTGTCTGTTAGCCGCTTGTGTGTCTTCTTTGATGAAGTGTCTGTTCATATCCTTTGCCCATTTTTTAATTGGATTATTTGTCTTTTTGTTGTTGAGGTGTTGCAGTATCTTACAGATTAGTGTTTAGACCCTTGTCAGAAATGTTGTAGCCAAAATTTTTTCCTCAGTCTGTAGGTTCACTTTTTACTCTTTTGGTGAAGTCTCTTGATGAGCATATGTGTTTAATTTTTAGGAGCTCCTAGTTATCTAGTTTATCTTCTGGTGTTTGTATACTGTTAGTTATAGTTTGTATCCTATGTATACTTTATATTAGGGCCCCTAGCCTTGTACCTATTTTTTCTTCCATGATCTTTATAGTTTTAGGTTTTATATTTAGGTTTTTGATCTACTTTGAATTAGTTTTTGTGTGTGGTGTGAGGTATGGCTCCTGTTTCATTTTTTCTTTACAGATGGACATCCAGTTTTGCGAGCACCATTTGTTAAAGGGATTGTCTTTTCCCCATTTAATGGGTTTTGGGACTTTGTCAAAGATCAGCTGACCGTAGGTGATGAGTTCTCAGTTCTGTTCCATTGGTCTGTGTGCCTGTCGTTGTACCACTACCAGGCTGTTTTGACTACTATAACTATATAGTACGTTCTGAGATCAGGTAGTGTGAGGCCTTCTACTTTATTTTTCTTTTTAAAAAATGGTTGACTTATCCAGGGCCTGTTTCCTTTCTATATAGAGTTAGAGATTAGTTTTCCATCTGGTTAAAGAATGCTGATGGTATTTGGATCGGATTGCATTATATCTGTAAATTGCTTTGGGTAAAAGTGACGTTTTCACAATGGTGAGTCTTCCTATCCATGAGCATGGTATGTTTTTCTATTCATGTAGGTCTCTTTTGGTTTCTTGGAGTAGTGTTTTGTAGTTTTCTTTGTATAGGTCTTTTATGTCCCTGGTTAGATTTATTCCTAAGTATTTTATTTTCTAGGGGCTATTATAAATGGAATTATTTTTTGGTTTACTTTTTTCAGTTCTCTTTGTCGGTGTATAGGAATTCAACTGATTTTTGTAGTTAATCTTGTATCCTGCTACTCTGTTGAATCTTTCTCTTAGTTACAATAGTTTTCTTGTGGAATCTTTGGGGTTCCCTATGTATAGCAGTATATCATCTGCAAATGGGGGTAGTTTTACTTATTCCTTTTCAATTTGGATGCTCTTTATTTCTATTTCTTGCCCTATTGCTGTAGCTAGGACTTCCAGCACAATGTTAAATAAGTGTGGTGATAAAGGGCATCCTCATCTTGTTCCTGTTCTCAGAGGGAATGCTTTCAGCCTCTCTCCATTGAGAATGATGTTTGCTGTTGGTTTTGTATAGATGCCCTTTATTATGTTGAGGAATTTCCATTCTATTCCTATTTTCTCAGAGTTTTTATCAGGAATGGGTGTTGGACTTTATCAGATTTCTTTTCTGCATTGATTGAGATGATCATGTCATAGTTTTCTTTTGTTTATTGATTTTCTAATGTGGAAACATCATTACATACCTAGTATGAATCTCACTTAGTTGTGGTGTATTGTTTTTTTGATATGATACTGAATTCCATTGGCTAGAATTTTGTTAAGAATTTTTGCATCTGTATTCATGAGAGATATTGGTCTGTGGTTTTCTTTTTTTGTGGTGTCTTTCCCTGGCTTTGGTATCAGAGTTATGCTGGCTTCATAGAATAAATTCGGGAGTATTCCTTCCTTTTCTATGCTCTGAACTAGTTTGAGTAGTACTGGTATGAGCTTTTCTCTGAATTTTTGGTAGAATTCTTTAGTGAAGCTGTCCTGGCCAGGGCTTTTTTTTTGTTTTTGGGAGTTTTTTAAATTATCTTTTATTCTTGTTATTGGTCTCTTCAAATTTTTTATCTCAGTTGTGTTAGTTTAGGTAGCTAGTGTGTTTCTAGAAACTTGTCTATTTTCTCTAGGTTCTCAAATTTGTTGTAGTGCAATTTTTCGTAGTATTCTGTTACAAACCTTTTTATTTCAGTTGGGTCTCATGTAATGTCACCCTTCTGAGTTGTAATTTGGGTTATTTTCTTCCTCTCCTGTGTTTCTTTTGTTAATTTGACCAGTAGTTTGTCAATTTTGTTGATCTTTTCAAAGAACCAATTTTTAGTCTTGCTGATTCTTTCTGTTGTTTTTCTGGTCTCTACTTCATTTATTTCTGCTCTAATCTTTATTATTTCCTTTTTTCTGGTGCTTGTGGGCTTCTTTTGCTTTTCTCTTTCTATTTGTTCAAGATGTAGGTCTAACATTTTGATTTTGTCCCTTTCTTCTCTGATGCTCTTATGATATCTGTGTTACTGCTATACACTGACCTTTGTACACTGCCTTTGCTGTGTCCTAAAGGTTTTGGTATGATGTGTTTTCATAGTTGTTTGAGTCTAGGAATTTTTTAATTCCCTCTTTGATTTCTTCTATAAACATTTGCTTGAAGTATATTTTCAATTACTTTTATTCCGTTTGCTCTGTTTTGTTTTGTTGTTGATAGTTGCCATTGATCTTACAGTGGTCTTATTGATAAGAGAATGAAATGTTGGTCAGTCTTGTGCCATCTATGTGATCATTGATATGTTTGAGTCCATTGTTGTATTGTGTCAATACATCTCATTGAGGGTTTCCCTCATTTTTGCTGACCCTCTGCTTTACGAAAAATGACGTTCTTCTCCAAGTATTGGTCTTTCCTGATGATGTGTCCATAGTAAGTGAATCAAAGTCTCACTATCCTCACTTTTAAGGAGCATTTTCTTAGGAGCAGTAAATTCTGTATAAGTTGGCTACTCACCACCCCCCCCCCCACTTTTTGATCTTGCATAACTATTATTTTCTTAGTTTCGTAGGGCTACCATTACAAAATATCACAAACTAAGTAGTTTTAAAGAACAGAAATTTATGTCTCACAGTTCCAATTTATTGTCTGTCTAAAAGTCCAAATCAGGGTATTGGCCATATTCATTTCTTCTGAGGGCTCTGAGAGAGTAACTGTTTGATGCTTCTCTTCTATCTTCTGGTGGCTTCCAGCAGTCTTTGACATTCCTTGGTTTGCGGTTGCATCTATCTCTGTTATCACATGGCTGTTCTTCCTCCTGCATCTGTTCTCAGTTTTTATAAGACACCACTCAAAGGATCTGAGGACCCATCCTACTTCCGTGTGACTTTATGTAATCCTAACTGATTACATCTTCAAAGAGAGACCTTAGTTTCAAACAAGGTCACTTTCACAGGAATAGGGGTTACTACTTCAACATATTTTTTTTTAGGGGTAGGAAACGATTTAGTCTATAACAATCATGTTGTCTGTTTTTCAAATTAATTGTGTCCAAGATTTTTATAGGCGTACACAGTGATGAATGTCCCATACTTGCAGAAGTAAACCTTCTGAAAAGCCTAAGCAAATATTTAGTCAGGTTAGAGACAGGGTTATTAACCTTTTTTTCCTTTCTCCAGGTTCTCAAAATTCATTTCTACAAATAATATTTCCAGAGAAAATACAAGCAAATACAAGTGATGATTCAGAACTAGAAAATGTAAGAGAATTTTTTTTGTAGTCTAAATTATTATATGAAATTTCTTATTACTTAGCAATGAAATATAGCCATCCCATTATAGTAGAAGGTTGAATATAAGTATAGAGGCATGAATATAAGTATCTAATATTACTACTGATAAGAAATTTAGAGTTTTATTAGAAAAGCAAATATATAAGTTAGAATGTTCTATTTTATCTAATATTTGTTGTTTCATCATGGTAAAATTATTTTTTAAAATCTAAATACAGAAAATAATGTATAAGAATTAAGGGTCTTATGTGAATGATATGTTATATTGCAGAAAGATGTGCCCTTTAGGTTGGAAGGCACTCAAAATATGATTGGGGAAGAGCTGCCTCCTCAAAGTAGAGTCGACCTTAATGACGTGGATGGAGTAAAGCTTTTGGGACCTTCATTTGCCGATGTGGCACAACTCAAGATGAGAAAGCATAGCTGCAAACATCCGTTAGTAATAAGAATGTGGAATGTATGAAGTATGAATCTAGGAAAATTGGAAGTTGTCAAAAATGAAATGGGAACACTTGAAGATTTATACCCCAGGCATTAATGAGCTAAAATGGACTGGTATTGGGCATTTTAATTGGACAATCATTTGGTTTATTTTGCTGGGACTGACAAATTAAAGAGGAATGGTGTCACATTCATTGTCAAAAAGAACATTTCAAGATCTATCCTGAAGTTCAACACTGTCGGTGTTAGAATAATGTCCACACACCTACAAGGAAGACCAGTTAATACGACTATTATTCAAATTTAAGCAGCAACCATTAATGCCAAAAAATGAAGTGACTGAAGATTTTTACCAACTTCTGCAGTCTGAAATTGATCTAAGACGCAATCAAGATACACTGATAATCACTGGTAATTGGAATGTGAAAGTTGGAAACGAGGAAGGATTGGTAGTTGGAAAATATGGCCTTGGTGATAGATGATGCTGGAGGTCACATGGTAGAATTTTGCAAGACCAACTACCTACTCATTAGAATTACCTTTTTCAACAACATAAATGGCAACTGTACACGTGGACCTCACCAGATGGAATACACAGGAATCAAATCAACTACATCTGTGGAAAGAGACAGTGGAGAAGCTCAATATCATCAGTCAGAACAAGGCCAGGGGCCAACAGTGGAACTAATCATCAATTGCTCATATGCAAATTCAAACTGAAGCTGAAAAAAATTAAAACAAGACCATGAGATACAAAATACGACCTTAAGCATATCCCACCTGAATTTAGAGACCATCTCAAGAATAGATTTCGAATGACCAAAGACCAGATGCATTTTGGGATGACATCAAGGACATCATATATGAGGATAGCAAAAGATCATTGAAAAGACAGGAAAGAAAGAAAAGGCCAAAATGGATGTCAGAAGAGGCTCTGAAACTTGCTTTCGAACGTAGAATAACTAAAACAAATGGAAGAAATGATGAAGTAAAAGAGCTGAACAGAAGATTTCAGAGGGCGGCTTGAGAAGACTAAGTAAAATATTATGAAATGTGCAAAGACCTGGAGTTAGAAAACCAAAAGGGAAGAACATGCTCAGCATTTCTCAACCTGAAAGAACTGAAGAAAAAAATCCAAGCCTTAGGTTGCAGTATTGAAGGATTCTATGGGCAAAATATTGAACAATGTAAGAAGCATCAAAAGAAGATGGAAGGAATACACAGTCACTATCCCAAAAAGAACTGGTCAGTGTTTAATCATTTCAGGAAGTAGCATATGATCAAGAACCATGATACTGAAGGAAGAAGTCCAAGCTGCATTGAAGACATTGGTGAAAAACAAGGCTCCAGGAATTGACGGAATACCAATTGAGATATTTCAACAAACGATGCCACGCTGGACGTGCTCAACTCATCTATGCCCAGAAATTTGGAAGACAGCTACCTGGCCATCTGACTTCAAGAAATTCATATTTATGCCCATTCCAGAGAAAGATAATCCAAAAAAAAATGCGGAAATTGTCAAATAATATCATTAATATCACATGCAAGTAAAATTATGCTGAGGATCATTCAAAAACAGTTGCAGCAGTACATCAACAGGGAGCTGCCAGAAATTCAAGCCTGATTCAGAAGAGAACATGGAACCAGGGACATCACTGCTGATGTCAGATGGATCTTGGCTGAAAGCAGAGAATACCAGAAAGATGTTTACCTATGTTTGATTGACTATGCAAAGGCATTCAACTGTGTAGATCATAACATATTATGAATAACATTGCAAAAAATGGGAATTCCAGAACACTTAATCATGCTCATGAGAAACCTGTACCTTGAACAAGGAGATGGATACTGTGTGGTTCAAAGTCCAGAAAGGTGTGTGTCAGGGTTGTATCCTTTCACCATGCTTATTCAATCTGTATGTTGAGCAGATAATCCAGGAAGCTGGACTATATGAAGAAAAATGCAGCATCAGGATTGGAGGAAGCCTCATTAACAACCTGCATTATGCAGATGACACAACCTGGCGTTCTGAAAGTGAAGAGGACTTTAAGCACTTACTGATGAAGATCAAAGACTACAGCCTTCATAATGGATTACACCGCAGCATAAAGAAAAGAAAAATCCTCATAACTGAACCAATAAGTAACATCATAATGAACAGAGAAAAGATTGAAATTATCAGGGATTTTATTTTACTTGGATCTACAATCCACATGTATGGAAGCAGCGCTCAAGAAATCAAAAGATGCATTGCATTGGACAAATTTGATGCAAGAGACCTATGTAAAGTGTTGAAAAGCAAAAATGCCACTTTGAAGACTAAGATGCGTCTGACCCGAGCCATGGTGTTTTCAATTGCTTCATATGCATGCAAAAACGATGAATAAAGAAGCCTGAAGAAGAATTGACACCTTTGAATTATGATGTTGGTGAAGAATGTTGAATATACCATGGACTGCCAAAGGAACGAACAAAGGTGGGTGGTTTGTGGAATATATGAGCAGGTGACCAGTAAAAGTCTGTTTTCTGAATATGTTGAAGTTATTCCAGCACTTTGCAAAAAACATTCTGGTAGATGTATCTGAGAAATTGTATCGGGAAAGTCCCCAAAGGGATGGGATTTCTTAATTAGCAAAAGCAGATCATCTGTCTGTTATTAAAATTTAAAACACAAATTTACCATTATTGTTCAGTAAATTCCCTTATAGCCTCCATTAATCAACCCACATACACTCTTTAAAGACAAAGCTAATTTTCTCTGTATACAGTTAAAGAAAATATATCTGGTACGCTAACATCTTCTTAAGTGTTAAGTTTTTGTTTTGAGAAAATATGCATTCAGGAACTACTTAGGGGAACTTGCCCATCAGCTCCACCTTACAAAGAAAGAGGTAAAGAAACTCCAGCATCTATGTTCAGTTATCATATTCAGATCAGGCTCAGGGACTATTTTTTCTCACCAACGCAAAATTTAAAGCTAGGATACCCTGCTGCTTCAGTATCAGGATTTTATGTTCAGTGTTTCTTATATATGCCATTCACCTGTTTTGCTTCTTTCCTCAATTTGTTTCTGATTTCACTTTTTAAAAACTAAACTTAAAAAAATTTGGAATAATTTTATATTTACAGAAAAATTAAAGATACTACAGAGAGTTCCGGTATAGTGTTCACCCAGTTTCCACTCATATTAACAACTATGTTGATACATTGTTGTTGTGTGCTATGGAGCCGATCCCAACTCATAGTGCCCCTATATGACGGGTAGTACTGCCTCATAGGATTTCCTGGGCTGTAATCTTTTTTTTTTTTTTAATTGTGCTTTAAGTGAAGTTTACAGCTCAAGTTAATTTCTCATACAAAAATTTATACACATATTGTTATGTGACACTAGTTACAATCCCTATAATGTGACAATACACTCCCCCTTTCCACCCTGGGTTTCCTGTGTACCTCCAACCAGCTCCTGTCCTCCCTGCCTTCTCATCCTGCCTCTGGACAGGAGCGTCTAGGCTGTAATCTTATGGGAGCAGATCAACAGGTCTTTTCTCCTGCAGAGTGGCTGATGGGTTGGAATTGTAGACTTTTCAGTTAGCAGCAAAGCACTTAACCATTATGCCACCAGGGCTCCTTTTTTGATACACTACATTAGTCAGAACTAAGAAACTGAGATTGGTATGTTACCATTAACTAAACTATAGGCTTTATTTGGACTTCATCAGTTTTTCCACTAATGACCAGGATCCAGTGTAGGATACAGCATTGCATTTGGTTGTCGTGTCTCCCCAGTCTCCTCTGCTTTGATAGTTTCTTGGTCTTTCCTTGTTTTTCATGACCTTGATAGTTCTGAAGGCAGGAAGATATTTTGTAGAACGTCCCTCAATTTGGGTTTATCTGTTATTTTCTCAAGATTAGACTGAGGTTATGGGTTTTGAGGGGAAGTTACCATATAATGTCCTTCTCATAAAATCATATCAAGGGGTACACGATATCAGCTTGACTTACTGCTGATAACGTGAACTTCCTGGTTTCACTTTTGAGCATTTGTTGGACATTTAAATAAACTGCCTCATTCTTTAATTTATGTAGTCTTCTGGTTGTATCTTATTTTCACACGTGCTGGAATGTTTTTTTCTGTGTTCTGATATTTGTGTCCTTTTGATATTTTTTATTTTAATAGACTTTATTTTTTAGATTAGTTTTAGGTTTACATAAAAATTGAACTGAAAGTGCAGAGTTCCCATATTATGTCCCCCACCCCCACAGTTTTCCCAATTATTAACACCTTGTATTAATGTGGAGCCCTGTGGCATAGTGCCATAGTGGTTGTGAACTCGGCTGCTATCCAAAAGGCAGCAGTTCAAATCCACCGGCCATTCCTTGGAAATCCTATGGGGCAATTCTACTCCGTCCTATAGGGTCGCTATGAGTCGGAATCAATTCGATGGCAGCGTGTTTGCATTAATGTGGTATATTTGTTAAAATTGAGGAACCCATGTTGATACATTATTCTAAATTAAAGTCCTTAGTTTACATTAGGATTCACTTTTTTTTTAATTTTTTTTTTTTGGGTGAAAATATACACAGCCAAAGATACACAATTTCAATAATTTCTACATGTATATTTCAGTGACATTGGTTATATTCTTTAAGTTGTGCTACCATCTTGCTGTAGGATTCACTCTTCATGTTGTATGGTTCTGTGGGTTTTGACAAATGCATAATTTCATGTGTCTACCATTACAGTATCATACAGAATAGTTTCACTGCCCTAAAAACGCCCTGTGCTCCACCTGTTCGTCCCTTTCTCCTCTCTGAACCTCTGGCAATCACTGATCCTTTTACTGCCCGTTTAGTTTTCCTGGAGTCCCTGGGTAGTGCAAACGGTTAGTGCACTTGGCTGCTAATGAAAAGGTTGGAGGTTTGAGTCCACCCAGAGGTGCCTTGGAAGAAAGGCCTGGTGATCTACTTCTGAGAAATCAGCACAGTTCTAGTCTGACTTACAGGGGGTCACCATGAGTTGGAGTCAATTTGAAGGCAACTGGTTTAAGTCCCTGGGTGGCGAAAATGGTTTGCACTCGACTACTAACCTAAAGGTTGGTGGTTGAACCCACCCAGTGGCCCCACAGAAGAAAGCCCTGGTGATCTGCTTCTGTAAAGATCACAGCCAAGAAAACCCTATGGAGCTCAGTTCTGCTCTTTAACACATGGGGTCGCTGTGAGTTAGAATCCACTTGATGGCAGCAGGTTTGGTTTTGGTTTTTATAGTTTTGTCTTTTTTAGAATGTCATGTAGTCAGAATTATATAGTATGTAATTTTTTCAGACTGGCTTCTTTCACTACCAGTATTCACTTAAAGTTTCTCCATGTTTTTTCATGGCTTGATAGCTCATATCTTTTTACCACTGAATAATGTTCCATTGTATGAATGTACTATGGTTTGTTTGTCCATTCAGCTATTGAAAAACATCTTAGTTGCTTCGAATTTTTGGCAATAATTGAGTAAAGCTGCTGTAAACATTCATGTGCCTTTTGTGTGGATATAAGTTTTCAACTCATTTGGGTAAACACCTAGGAATGTGAGCTCTGGATCGTATGGTAAGCCTATGTTAACTTTGTGAGGCACTGTCAAACTGTCTTTCAAAGTAGATGTGTCATTTTGCATTCCCACCAGCAGTGAATGAGAGTTCCTGCTCTCAAATGAGAGCTCCACATCCTCGGCAGCATTTGATATTGTCAGTTTTGTGGACTGTAACCATTCTAATAGGTGTCTAGTGGTATCTCATTGTTTTTGTTCTTTTGATTTTTGTATGCTTTAACTTTTTTTTTTTTTAGTCACTGATTCTCTAACTCTTGCTTTTCACATGTACTCTTTTGTTCATCACTCAAGTTCACTGATCTACTGATGTCCTAAACTATTGCCATCTACGTTCTGACTCGAAAATAGTAGCAACACAGTCAAAGACAATATCAAATTTTGTTCAAGAATTTTCTGTTTAAAAATATAAGAAATAGGCAATGTATTTTAGGAAGATTGTTAGGAAAATGTTTAAAAGAAGTATTCTTTGTACCTTACTGATGTAGAATACCTTATTATCTCAATGAAGCCACCTAAATATTCATTATAACATAGCATATGATCTCTTCTTTCATAAAGAGTTTATAGTTCAGTTATATGTAGTTTTCTAATCCTATATAAACCCTCAGTTTGGGCTTATTTTTTGTGGAAATAGTAAGAATGGCTTGTATAATAAATAAATATTATAATTTTTTGATATTTTTTGCAGATGATAAATCATGTATAGTCTGAGATTTTAACCAAGATAATAAAGACATTTCAAGCATTGTTTGGAGGGATTAATTGATGCAAAATTGTTACTTTACATCTTACATTAAATTTATGTTCACTCTCAGTTGTTCTGGATTCTCTAGGAACAGGTATCCTATATTATCCCAATAGATGAGAAACTGTATACTGTGCACCTTAAGCAAAGGTAATGTATTTATTTATTTTTCTGTAGTTTTGGATTTCATTTTATTTCAATGAATTTGTCTACTTGTAATAAAAATGGAATATAAATAAATAATAAAATGTAGTTGTTGAGAAAGATTTTAATTGTATCAGATGATACAGATGTTCTTCTGTGAATTAATTAAATTTTTTGTTCTAATGCCAGAAGTCTTTTGTGAATTAGGGGGTTAGGAACAGAAAAATTAGAGATTCACCTCCTGAAGACAGATCTATGTTTGAGTTTAAGTTAACAGGACTGCTAGGACCTAAATGATCAAGGCAGGCTATCAAATAGGAAGTAAATCTGTAACTGATGGTATCAGCTGAGGTTTGATCAGGGAGGCAGGACCACTATGAGGGGTATGGGATATGAGATTTCATGTAGAAATTAGACCTTACACTGTTGTGGGAGCTGGCGAATAGTCTATGGAAGGCTATTGCCTCTACATCTGGTGGTCATGTGCCCTAACGCTCTATAAAATGAATTAACTTATAAACTGAGCATCTAGACTAGTACTAGATATGTACCATCTTTCAGAGAATCGACAAAATAATAATTGAAGTAATTTTCTGTAGGGTTTAATTCTCTGACAGAACCCCAGTTGAGAAAGCTTGGCATGGCAGTAATTTGTGACTTTTAAGAGGACAGTTTCAGTTCAGTTTTGGCGTAGAATTAGACTACGTGGTATCAGGGAGAGGAAGATTCATGAGAAGCTGGAGGTAGCAAGTGTAAATAACTTTTCAAAAACATTTGGCAGAGAAACAAGAAAGAGCAGGCTTAGATGGATACTTTTTAAGAAAGCAGAAACAGAAAGGCTTGGCTAAGGGGAAATTTCTTAGAGAGAGAAGAGAGATGAAAGGTGATTGTGTCAGAGGCCAAAGAATGCCACTTAGTAAAAAAAAAAAGAGATAACTTACTCTTTTAGACAGAAAGGAAGAAGAATATGGTAAATGAAAAGGACTGTTGAATGGCATGAGAGAAAGTAAGAGAACTTACATTGCGTTTGAACATCTTATCAAGACTATAAACAGGTGGTGGGTAGGGAGTGCATATATTATTTTGGAGTGTTACCTGCATAATGATTATGATAGCCTAACAACAGGAAGGAAATCCTGGTGGTGTAGTGGTTAAGAGCTATGGCTGCTGACCAAAAGGTCAGCAGTTTGAATTCACCAGGCACTCTTTGGAAACCCTGTGGGGCATTTCTACTCTGTCTGTAGGGTCGGTGTGAGTCAGAATTGACTCAACTCGACAGCAGTGGGTTTGGTTTTTCGTTTTAATGACAGGAAGGTATTGCAAGTAGATTATAGGAGATCTAACAAGAAGTAAAGTATGACTGTGTAGAGGTGAGGGTTTAAAATGAAAATTGTGTTTTTAGTGAAAGTTTACACAGCAAATTAGGTTCCCATTTAACAGTGACTTCATAAATTGTTCAGAGACATTGGTTACATTTTTTTTACAATGTGTTAACATTCTCATTAATCCCCTTCTGGGTGTTTCTTTTCCAGTAATCTGATTTCCCTATCCCCTTACCCTTTCATCTTTGCTTGAGATTAATTGTGGACCCTTTGGTGTGAAGTACGCACTAGTAATGTTCTTTAAGAGCCGATCTGTTATTTAGCTAAAAGGTGACCTCTTTGGGTAGTTTTGGCTCAAGATTTATGGAGTATCTCAGGGTGATAGTCTCTGGGAGTCCTCTATTCTCATAGCCAGTCCAGTAAGTATGAACTTTTTACAAATTTGATAACGGTTCCACATTTTTCTCCCCTTCTGTCACGATTCATCTATTATGGTCCTGATTAGAATGGTCATTGGTAGCAGCTAGGCACCATTTAGTTCTTTCGGTTTCAGGGTAGGTAAGGCCATGGTTTGTATAGACTGTTAGTCCTGTAGACTAGCTTCTTCTCTGAGTCTTTGGTTTCTTTCTTTCCTTTTTTGCTCCAGAGAGGGGAACAATAGTTGTATCTTAGATGGCTACTCACAAGCTTTTAAGACCCAGACACTACTCACCAAACTAGGATGTAGAACATAAACTTTGTGAACTATATTATGCCAGTTAACCAAGTTGTCCCATGGGACTATGGTCCTAAGGCTTCTAACCCAGAAAACCAATCCCATGAGGTGTTTGGTTATGTCTAAGAAGTATCCATAACTGTGCCCCTTATGTGCTTTATTATATATGTGAACATGCATGCACACACACCTATATACATACAGCTACATGTATATATGAACACATGTATTCACACATATACATACCCGTACACATATATGCATGCATACATACATATGTAACCACACATATATTTTTTGGTTGTTGCTGTTGTTGCAAAAATTGTATATGTACTAGCATTTACCAAAAACATCAGTTTTTTTTTTTTTGTGTGTGTATACTTCTTAGTGACATCATTTACCTTGGTAAAGCTGTACACACTTCACCCACATTCAGGGTTACCTTTCCTATCACCCAAAATAACAAGTATCTATTATCTAAAGAGTGATTCCTCCCCTCCCCACCCACCCATCCCTGATAACTACCAATGAATGGTAGTTTCTGTATGTATATGTATTTTTGTCTTTTTATAAAAGTAGGATCATACAATATTTTTCCTTTTATGATTGACTTATTTCACTCAGCATAATGTCCTCCTGATTCATCCACATTATGTTTTGAGGACTCATCATTATTCTTTATGGTCGTATAGTATTCCATTGTATGTATGTACCTCAATTTGCTTATCCATTCATCTGTTGTTGAGCACTTAGGTTGTTTCCATCTTTTTGCTATTGTGAATAGTGCTGCAATGAACATAGGTGTGTATATGTCTGTTCATGTCACTTCTTTTAGGTCTCTAGGGTATACAGCTAGTAGTGGGAATGCTGAATTATAAGGTAGTTCTATTTCTAGTTTTTTGAGGAAGCATCATACCATTTTCCAAAGTGGTTTTACCATTTTACAGTCCTACCAGTAGTGAGTTCCAGTCTCCCCACATTCTCACCAGCATTTGTTGTTTTCTGTTTTTTGGATCAGTGCCATTTTAACAGGTGAAATGATAACTCCTTGTTTTGATTTGTATCTCTCTAATGGCTAAACATCACAAACATTTTTTCATGTTTTTATTGGCCACTTGAATGTCTTCTTTGGTGAAGTGTCTATTCATGTTTTTTGCCCATTTTTTAACTGAGTTGTCTTTTTGTTGTTGAGTTATTGAAGTTTTCTGTATATTTTAGAGATTAGATTTTTATCAGATATGTCATTCCTGAAGATTTTTTCCCAGTCTGTAGGTTGGGTGGGGATGTTTTTTTTTTTTTAGAGATGCTGAGGTAGCAGAAAAAAGATTAGGTAACAGATTGGATATAATGGTGGCAGGCATTTGGTGGACAGTGAAGGAGAAGGGGAATAGACCTGAGTCAGGGAAAATGTGGACTCACTTTTGGAGAAGTTGGGTATGAAGTGCTTGTAGGACATCTTAGGAAAAACGTTCAGTTGGCGTTAATAGTTTAGAACTTGGGAGAGAGGTCTGGGTTTCAAAGTTATCTTTTTATATAGATAGTACATGAAGCCACAGAAATGGATAACATAAACCTGTAGCAGTGGGGATGTATGTTAAAAGTAAGAAGGAAAACAATCTAGAATTGAATGTCATGGAAACATTTTAGAGAAGAAGAAAGGATCCAGATGAAGGGACTTTTAAGAAAAGACAGTAAGATATGAGAAAGAGGAGACAAACAGGAGGATGAAGTGATATCACTGAAACCGAAAGAAGAAGGTTTTAAAGAAGGGGAATATGATCAACAGTGTCAATTGCTTCAGAGTAGTTTTACTTGACTACAAACTGCCTTTTGGATTTAGCAAGTAGGAGGTCATTAGCAACCTTGGTGAGAGCAATTTTAGTGGAGGATTCCAAACAGAAGCTGGTCTGGGTGATCTAGTTAAATTATGTTGGATTAGGAGTGAGTAGGAGTCCCTGGGTGGCTCAAAGGGTTAATTGCTCAACTACTTATGGAAAGGTAGGTTGTTTGAACCCAACTAGAGGAGTTGCTATCTGTTGGAATTGACTCCATAGCAATGGGTTTGGTTTGATTTAGAGGAGTCTAGGAAGAAAGGTCTGCCAATCTGGTTCCAAAAGATCACAGCCTTGAAAACTTCATGGAGCACAGTTCTACTCTGCAAAACATGGGGGCCGTGAATTGGAATCGACTCAGTGGCAACTGGTTTGGTTTTGGATTTAAAGGAGTAAGCGTGAGGTGAGGAAGGATAATTAAAGCAGTATGATAAATGCAAGGAATGATACCAGAGAGTTTAACTTGGAGTCTTAGTTTCAGTATATCTATTAAGGTAAATATGACTTTTACACAGTACCTTTCCACTTTGTGATAAAGGTGACATATCTCTATAATAGTAAAATTTAGAAAGAATAAAAGAATAGAAAACTCTCATAAACCTATAACCAGTTCATATCTTTATAGATTTTAAAATGCTTTTCCTATCTCTTTTCTTGCAATCCCTTCTTTTAATTTTCTTTAAAGGAGTCTGTTAAGATAGGAAAGTTATTTTGAGTAAATGCGCTTTGTTTTCCATAAAAACTACATATGTGTCAAAAGAAAATGTTACCTTTATGTCAGGGGTTGGCAAGCTTTTTCTGTAAAGAGCCAGATAGTAAATATTTCAGGCTTCGAGGGCCAGACTGTCAAAAATACTCAACTCTGCTGTTGTAACAGAAAATCAGCTATGGATAGTTTGTAACAAATGGGTGTGGCTGTGTTCCAGTAAAACTTTATTTACAAAAATAAGTGGTGGGCTATATTTGGCTTGAGGTCATTAATTTGCTGACCAATGCTTTATATGTTTCAAAAGAATAACTTTTATAATTTTCTCATTTTTTTATATTCAGATTGTTTTTAGCAGATAATTTTATGGTTTATTTGTATAATAAAGGATCTATGAATTCTCATTCTTCAAATATTCAGGTAAGATTTGTTGTATGTTTTATAGATTTTTTAAAACCATTTTTATATTCAGTGAATGTTTTTCTAATACAGAACCAAAAACCCCAAACCCATTGTTGACTTGATTCTGACTCAGCATGACCCCATATGTTGCAGAAGCCTCTGTTTCATTTCCTCCATGATTTTCTTGGAATCCTGATAAACTAAAGACAAGATAGATCGATTTAGCAGCTTCCACACTGCCTAGAACATAGGTACTATTTATTTATTTTTTCATCCATCCATCCATCTGTAAATGAATAAATTAAATAAGAAAAGCCAACACAAACGTTGTTGGACACCAAATTACAGACCAAAACCTTTCCTTTTTTTTGAACATTTTATTATGCTTCAGGTGAAAATTTACATAACAAATTAGTTCTTCAGTCAGTAATTCATATGCAAATTGTTCTGTGACACTGGTTGCAACCCCTGCAATGTGTCACCATTCTCCCCCTTTCCTCCCTTGCTTCCCCATTTCGATTCCTCTGATTTCCTTGTCCCTCCCTGCCTTCTCATCTGTGGTTTTGGGCAAATGTTGCCCTTTTGGTCTCCTATAGTTGATTGTTCTAAGGAGCTCCTCCTTCATGGGTGTTATTGTTTATTTTATAGACCCATCTATTATTTGGCGGAAAGGTGGCCTCTGGGAGCGTCTTCAGTTTCTAGTTAGAGGGCTGTTTTAGGGCAATAATCTCTGGGGTTCTTATTTAGCTATACATCTTTTCTTAAAATTTTTATTTTTTATACTTTAGAAGTTGTTTTAGGGTTTATAGCATACATCTTTAACTTATCACAGTCTATTTTCAAGTGATAAAACTTCATATACAGTATAATAATACTACAACATTATACTTGTTTTTTTTTTCTTTTTTTTTTTTTTATTGTACTTCAGGTGAAGGCTTACAAAACAAATAGTTTCTCATGAAACAGAAGTACACATGTTGTTTTATGACATTGGTTAACAACCCCACAACATATCAACCCTCTAACTTCTCAACCATTATTTT